CAGGGCCACAAAGTACGCCTATCCCTGCGGTACGCCCTTCCCCGCCTAAGTTCTCCCCCAAATTACAAGGGTCGGAATAGTTGGTCATAGTCTCCCCGTATAGTAGACCCCATATATATTTGCAGCATACCCCGAGACTTAGTCGAATGATCAACGCCCCGGTAGTTATTGTCATGGTTACGACGGTTACGACACTCCCTAAGCGCAAAAATTGTAAGCCCCACGGAGCCACCCTTCGCTCAGGCCTGCGAAGCCAAAGTGTCCAGGTTCTGGTCATTGCGGTTTAGGGTTTAGGAAGGCTTGATGGTGGCCCGTGTTAGGGCTCTCATACTACTATGAAGGCTTATTTTTGAGGCCCTCTATTGTCCGAAGATCCCATATGGGTCAAGGAAAATGCAGCAGAATCCAACATGCGGCTAGGGTCGACTGATCGGTCTTCGAATTGGAATGAGGCCTGATATGGCCTCATGAAACCCCTTCATTGCGACCCAATTTCAGATATGTTTCGAAAGAAACTACTTTTTCATATGGGTGGTTGTCCAACTTAGGTCCTGTGGATTCCGATACTATAGGTATACTATAGGGTGCCGTATGAGGAGTAGAATTATATAGGGCTCCCCAAGCGGACCATGATTTTGACGGTTACGCACATAGGAAGGACACCTAGATCCAGTTCTTGTTGCATGTTACTTCGGCACCCGAGCTAAAGAGAAGCCCTAAACCGCCTAAACCCCTAAACCCTAAACTCTAAAACCCAGTTCAATCCGAACCCTCTGTAACTCAAGCCGCTCGCTGGAACTCCGAACCTTCGGCCTAAGCCTAAATCCCAGCAAACTTCCTCTCCCCGGAGAGCCCAAAATACCCCTTAAATAAGGAGTCTACCTTAAATTAGAGGGGCCTTAATATGATGATGTCAGGGTCTATGCCTTAATTAAGGGGTCTTGGGCTCTTTGGGATTTAGGCCCCTATACCCTAAAACCCGAAACCCTTTTACCCCTAAACCCTAAAACCCTAAACCCTAAAACCCTAAAACCCCAAATTAAGGGGTCTTGGGCTCTCTGGGATTTAAGCCAAAGACGTTGCAGGAGACCTTGGAGACGCTGCTCAGCACTCTGACCGGCAAGCCGCAAGCCGGGAGACCTCGAATGCCATGGTTACTATCAAGGGTTTAGGGTTTAGGGTTTAGGGTTTCATGAGGGTTTAGGGTTTAGGGTTTTGGGTTTTGGGTTTCATGAGGTTTTAGGGTTTAGGGTTTAGGGTTTCATGTGATCTTGCCTCGGGGTTACTATCAAGGGGACTATGCAGCTTATATCAGGATGCCTTCAAGGCGCAATGGAATATTTTCTACAAGGTCGCGCCGTGGGCTTGTATTTGGGACACTTCAGCCCCGTCTGTGTTATCCAAAGAGATGTTTGGGCTTTGGGGTGGTGAGTTTCAGGCTTGTGGGAGCGGAATGTTCGGAGTTGCTTCGTTTTGGTGTTCGGGGAGGGGGCGGGGTTGGCGGTTAGCGGGGTCGGGGGCTGTAGAGGTTTTCGCCGTAGGGGCGCTGGCGTTCTGGTGTTATGGCTTAAGTTTTGGCGTCTTTGGGGTTGAGGCGGGTTGAGTGGTTCCGTCTGGAATCAAACCTAGCAAGTAAAGTTGTAGAACACGCGAAACCCCACAAACTGTTGTAGGCTGTGCATTGAAAGCGCTTTGAGGTGAGCCGGAGGACATAGAGTGGCTTGCGCGAGATTGGACGAGCGCAGCACGAAACATGCACTGCTTCTGAGAAAGGATGTTCATCGGCCTAGGTTGGAGCATCGCCGCGACTGAGGTTTTGGAAACCCCGTCCTTGCTTTGTTCGGTGTTAGACGAAAGTAAACGACTCACCTTGCAATGCAGTGTAAGGTACCTGCCCGGAGTGCCTTTCCGGAAATGTGCATTGCGAAAGCTACGGCTTGCAGAGCTGAGGCCATGGTCTCGGACATGGTGGCGCGCGACCGCTACATGTCCGTGACGGAGGACCCCAAGGGTTGGTCTTCGGGTCGGCGTGATGTAGGGGCCTTAATAATTAGAATAGGGTTTTGAGGGTTCCTTATTCTAATTGTAGTATAATGGGCCCCAAAGCCCTATTCTAATTATTAAGGCCCCTACATTACAGCAAACCCCCCACGTCCAGAGGCGAAGGATTTCGGCCTGGTCGACACGATCATTGAATGCAAGCCGCGCTGCTTGGCAGAGAGTTTTCGGAATATTCTCAGCCCCTTCCATCTTTCACAGTGGGAAGCCACACTTGCTTGAGGGCCAGGCTGCATCTTCGGAGCTTGTGCAGCCAAATGAACAGAACCTCGACCCACACTCCCAAATCCAATCCCGCCCGAAACGTTGAGACACTATAGACCCGTTCAGGCTAAACAGTTCCAAACCCAAAAATGCAAAACGCCTTTAAACCTCTAAAACCCACAAACCGCTAGACCGTAAAGCCCCGAGAAAAACGTCTGCCCAAGCCCACGCAGAAAGGGGTCATTTTGGATTACCTTTATCCGTTATCCTGCTGTAAGGTTACCCTACTTCCCTGCACCCAGAAAGGCTCAAAGCCGAACTGAAAGCAAGCAATCCGAAGCCCAGACGTCCCGCGTACGATGGCAGTGAGCAAAGTGCAGACCACAGAGTCATACCTTACAGAGTTCGAAGCCTAAGCCTCCTCTGCTGGCTGTTGTTCTTTGGGTGCCCAGGGCGATCGTGAGCTCATGCGCAGGGGCTCTGAGATCGACAGGGGGTAGCTGCGAAAAGGCTGCTGCTAAGATTTTGATACCAGGGGGTAGTGGTTAGATAAGGGCAAGATGTCCATACTTAGCAGAGTATAGCAGAGCTCTGATTCCACATGCGCGGTTTACGGTTGAGTGCAGTGATATTCTCGCAGCCATAGTGACTTCAGAGTCTTTGCGATGCTGGACTCGCAGTTTGAAGTGCTGCTGCTGCAGAGCAGGTTCTGAGTACTTTCATTATGCCATTTTCTGCTCAAGCCAGCTAGAGATTAATCAGTCACGCTTCTTAATGGAGCAAGCTGCAACCAGGCACCTCTGAGTTAGAATCAACCGTCCTGCAACAAGGACAGGATAGCTGGGCAGGTCACAAGTAAGCACAGCTTCAGAGTTGGATTCACAGTGCTGCTTCCTCTCGATGGAAGATCCGGGCGACAGCATGAACGGCCTCCATCTAGTTCATATGCCTCACGAGGTCTGCGCCGGAGTCGTGTGGAGCTTGGAAATGTCGGATGTGGGACGCTTTGCACCGACCTGCAAGCTTTTTTCACAAGAGGCCATGGATGCAGAGCTTTGGTTTCACCTCTTCATGCGGACATGCTGGCCACCATCAGGCGCCCTCTTAGCCTTCGCAGAGGGCACCACCACGCCCGTGGGCATCGACTGGCGAGCCCGTCTCCAAGCGCGCTCTGCCGCGTGCCCAACTATTGTGGTGGACGTGGGCCGAGGGTACACCAAGTACACGGTAGCTGATGGGATCCAAGGGCGCTGGGAGTTGGATGGTTGCTCTCCACAGCTTGTGCAGCTCTGTTCTTCGCCTACACATCCTCCAGACTGTGAGAGGAATGATCAGCTCCGATACATCCAGTACATGCTGAACCGAGAGTTTCTGCAAGCGGCCCTAAACCCCTCTCACAGACTCCACAAGGCGGCAATGGCTCCGCAGAACAGCCTGAAGCAAGGCGGCTACGCAGTGTATCGGGATGAGCATGACAATGCCAAGCCCGTCAAGGTCGGCGGTTGATCTCCAATTTCTGGCAGTCTTTTGCTTTTTATAAGGTATTCACATAGCCTTTTTCAGGGTAAGAAAACCTCGAGTCTACTTTACGATGAAAGCAGGTCCGAGAGGGCGATGAGGCAGCTGGCCAGTGGTCAGTGGAGGTGCTCCAAAGCTCTGAGCGGGGAATCCTCTCCGTGCAGTCGGAGTCTTTGGAGCCAATCCGAGTCTTGGCCTTGGTAACTCCGAAGAGCCTTTCTTTCGTGAAAGTTCGGTACGCGACGCACTGCGAGCGTGCTGCGAGCTTTTGGGCGGATAATTTAGGGAAGCATCTACAACCGGTAGAAGTGCAGTAGTAGCATTGCTGGTGGTGGCGACGATGGTCGGTGACGATGCTTTATGTTACTAGTAGGCGTCAGCACCAGCCAGCATCGCAGCAGCCGTCGCAATTAGATTATGCGCATGTGGTTGTAGTGATATGACAGTCTGAACCCTCAACAAGCGATGAGTGTAGTAACTGTTAGTAGCATCAGGAAATGTAGTTGATGAACAAGAAAACTATTGTCAAAAGCCAGTCGCAGCAGCGTGGTAATGTGGAAGAGTTAGCTGGCGCGCTCACCATCATCGGCATCGCCGGCATTATCATAATCAATGTGTCTGAATGTAGAACATTCCCAATCTGAAAAGGCCAAGCCCGAGACACTAAACCCCAACACCCCAAACCAAAGCCCTAAAGCCTACAACCAAAGTCCTCAAGACTCCGAACCCCAGGACCCCTGAGCCCTAAACCCCCCCTGGGACACGCAATGCTACCCCAACTCCTTTAAGAGCTCCTCTTTCTCCGAAGGAATGGCCCAGGACCTGCCCATCCTCATCGGGGAGCCCTTTGTGATCACTGCCGCCGGGAGTGGCGAGAAAGCCGCCTGGGAGCAGAAACTTGGCCACGAAAGCAGAGGAGAGCGCTGGAGTTTTGATACAGTAAATATGTATATGTATATATATATATATTATTTATGTATATATATATATACACAGTATGCCAAGATTCCTATGCAACTCGTACACATGTGCAACTATTATGTTATGTTCTGTTATACTATATCATCTTGTACCATATTGCATTCCACTACACTATGTATATTATGGTCTTTCTTCTTGCATATTTCTACTGTTGCAAGTTTAAACGTGCGCAGCATGTGGTATGTCGCAACTTAGTTGCGTGGATTGTGGCATATCACAGTGCAGTGTGATGCGATAGCTGTTGTTGCGGTTGGCTTTCTGATGCTGGTTTCGTGATGTTCCTTCCGGCTTCAACCCTCAGCCGTTAACATTGGGTTGGGGCAATCCGGGCTATCCGTAGACGTTGTGCAATTCAGCCCAGGAATATCCGAAGCCAGCTGGGCAACGACCGACCGGGTGCCGTCCAAGTGGTCTCTCAGGCCCAAATGGTCTTTGAGCCGCAACTGGTGAGTACAGTAGTTAGTAATGATGGTTTTAGCGATCTTGGTTAAGTAAGGTAAGCTACTAGTGATGTCGCATGATCATGGCTGTGATGCCGGCCGTCGGAGATGGCAGTGATCATAATGATGACGACGATGCTAGGGCTGTTGCCATAGACGATGTTGCTGACGGCGAGGATGTGAACAGCACGCGGGTCATGATGATCATGATGATTATGATGATGATGATGATGATTTTGACGATGATGCTGCTGCTGATCATGATGATGATGCTGGTAACGTCGACCTACGCCCACGAGAACGATGACGCGCCAACAAAAACGAAAAGCTTGGGTTTAGATATTCATCAGGCCCCCATGTAACGTTTAAGGTGTCTGTGGATCTATGTGTCGAGGATTCGGGCTCAGGGCTTGGTGCTTATAGGATTATTGAGGCATATAAGGGCGGACTTATGACTGGGCTTACGCGCTTATAGGATTGTGGTGTTCGTGGGAAGCCAAGAAGGACCGGCTTTGCCAGGGCCTCGTGCTAAAACACTAGCCCCTATAAATACTTGACCAGCTGGCAAAAAAGGGCCCACCAAAAAGCCGTTTAAAGCTCGTATGTGCAATTGAGGCCTTTGGAACTAAGCAACTGGGGCTTTCAGATTTCTCAGGCTCTTGCCCTAGCATTGAAGAGCCAAGAATTGTGCTGGTCACAGTTCAGCGGTGGTGGGCATGTTGGCACAAACATTCTCATGCTCAGCACTTTTGACTCATCAGAGGCAAGAGTAGGCATCATGGTGGCTGGAGTTGAACTTCAACAAAAGCTGCTGCACCGGATGCGGATGCTACCAGGAGAGGCTGCACAGGCCGAGACACTCACACCAGATGTTGACAAGAAGCCGAGCCCTTCAAAATCCTCGTCAGACGAGGATCGCTTGGAGGATATGGCCTCCGAGGCTAGCAGGCTTCGACAGCAGATCTTGAATGCTAAGAAGGAGAAAGACCTTGCCAACAGAAGGAGACAAAAGATTGAAAACGATTCAGTCCGCCATCACACGAACACCGCTAAGCAAATCGCAAACTATCACTGTCGGTTGCAAGCTATGCGAAATACTATTACAGCTGACAAAGAAGAGGCCAATATTCTGCGACAGAATCGTTGCAATAGCGAGCGCAAGAAGCAGTGCCACCAAGCTCAAGCCAGGAAGCTGAAAGAAGAAGCTGAATCGTGCAAGGCGCATAAAGCAAAGCTCGTTGTCGAAGTGCAGGTGGAGTCGGACAAGCTGGCTGCCCTGTGGGCAGAAGTGAAAAGCTACGAGCAGGCCTTAAAGGAAGTGTTGGAGCGCAAGGTCTTGGCGGAGGCGGAGGTCACAGCAACCAGGATGTCGCAAGTGACACAGCAAGAGGAGGACGACACGAGGAATTTCGCAATGCACAGTGGGAGCGAAGACGAGCAGGAGGATGAAAACGAGGAGGAAGAAGCCAGAGTCTTGAACGAATTAGAGCTCGCCTACGAGGGCTTAGAGTTGTCCTCGATCATGCCCATCCCTGCAGCAGTGCGGCTGGCCACAGGCCACATTTCACACCAAGAGACGATGTCGAAAGTAGACATCCCCGAAACCGGCTTCCTGGAGAGAGAAGGCATCGAGTTTAGCCGATGGACGCGGCCGTCGCCCAGTGGAAACAAGGATTGGACAGAAGAGGAGCTGGAAGCCGAGTACGG